CCAAGTGGTGGTGTTGGGCAGTAAAAGGGCTGGCTGGAGCATGAGAGTGCAATAGTGCAAAGCCATGCAGCAGGCAGCCCCTGTACTTTAGCACTTTTATGCCCTAGCCAGCCCCTGTCACCACCTACGTGCATTTTGGTGCAGTTAAGTACTCTGCTGTAGGATAGTGCTGTCCCCAACAGTACTATCTTATGGCAGAGTTAATTACTGTGCCCTAATACCAATGTATGTGTAGATGATGACACTTTACTGTGGAACTAATTAGTCTACTCTGCAGTCAAGTGCATATGTAGATGTGCCTAGGGTAACAGGGAAAAAAAAAGTGACAATTACATGTTGATGGGGAAATGTTCAGCATGAAAAAAATTCCCTGTTGATTAAACGATTTGGGGGCCAGGTGTCAACTTACGTTGTACCAGTGATAATGGTATAAACAGGGCCTTTACCCTGAGGTTTTACTCTAATTTAAATAATGTCTTTATATTGGTTAGACTCTACACTTGAAAATTCCATCCAGCAAAATTTTGAAAAAGGAGATTTAAAAAAAATAACTGGTTTGCCAAGAAACAAAGGATTTTTTCCCTACTTTAAACCAATTAAATTGTCAAAGAAAAAAGGGCTGCACTTAGCATTACTTATGGGAAAAGAGAGTGTTGAGACCTTAAACTGCAAAGATAAGTTTGATCTCAATCATCGCTTTAGAGTTAAAATAATGTTTTTGCACTTGATTTTTCCAGCACTGAATCAAGAGAATTAGTTAAGTACTACAGCTTAAAAGCCACCTACCCACACACACGTCACCCTACCATAGCAGATAGCCTATCTTTTATTTCATAGTGGAACACTGCAGAGGCTGCCTGCAGCTTTTTACTTGAGAAAGTGAGAATGCTGCAATAAAACATATTTTGGATTAATTTAGTAGCCAGTGCAGTTGTGTCAACTTTTTGCAAGCATATGGGGTGCTGTAGGGAAGTGCAATTAGAAGTCTTTTTTTTTTTTACAAAGCTATAAAGGTTCAGCCATGATATAAAATGGATCCTGCAGATTGCAGCTTTGGTATTGCCATACTACATAATTGTATTCACAGAATATTGTACCACAGTCTAGCACACTCGTA